CGAATTAATTACCAAGGTTAACTTAAAACATTCATCATTTAAATAATCATTAAGATTCATACAACTTCTATCAAAACAGGCATTTTCATTCATAAACTTTACTTCAAACATAGGCCACTTTATCAATGAAAATGACCAACTTCTACAGTAAACAAAAACAAACAAAACGTACAAGTGCAAAGAAAGCTTCAAAAACATCCAAACGGCATCCTTACAGGGGTACAAAACAAAAACAAAAAAAAATACAAAGCAAGCCAAATTAATTATCTTCAAATTCCTCTGGATCGGACTCCAAGGGCTCCACCTCTAACTGCTCATAAGGAATTGGTTGCTCAAGTGTTACGTTGGCAGCCACTAGAACCTTCAACTAGCTGTGCTTGAAACCGCGGTTCTCAAACTTCAACGCCCCGTCTGCATATAGCTCTTTTGTTGTCGCTTCTCCGGCTTCGTATGCTTTAGTCGCATCGGCCTCCGCACGTGCCAGCGCCTCTTTCGATTTCTCCAACTCGGCCTATAATTTAACGTTTTCTTCCTTGGCCAACTTCAATTCGCGATCTATATTGTTTGCCCTTTCTTCAGCGGCCGGAAAGAGAAGATCGACGTGCTTGGTTCTCTCATATTCGGCATCCGGCCTTCGCTGTTCTTCATCAGCTCTTTTGGATTCGGCTTCCACCTTCTGAGTCGCCATTAGTAAGTTGGCCATACCAATTTCAACCTTGCGTTTTTCCTTTGGAAGTTTGCCATCCAAAACGCCAAGTCTTTCCACAGCGTCATAATGTCGACGACCGATTTCCATGATCCTCCCCACCACCTAGCAAACATGATATAACAAAGTTAGTAGTCGGCATAAGAACGATGTATACAATCCAAAGCGACTTACCAATATTGCCGATTGTGCCGCCAAAGCAATGGAAACGACGTCTAGCTCAGCACAAAAGGTGGACCTGTCAGATGGAAGTGAAAGCATCGACGTAACACTTAATGCAATAGCAACATCTTTGATGGCTGATCCACTGGCCAGAATTGGCGAATTCTTCATCCTGGGTTGGATGATGAAGGGCTTGGCCGAGTCCGTGGCCAGGGAAAAGGCCTTCATCCTTTGCCGTTTGTTAATTGGTTCTTCTGATAATTCGGTAAGGGTCTCGGTGGGCCATTTTTCACCTCTTTGCTCAGTCTAATCAAAGCCTGAAGTTTCTGTTTGTTGCCGACTAGGAACTTCAGCAACTTCATCCACAATTAGCTGTGCAGTTTCTGGAACGGCCACTGGATGTAGAGTTTTCAGGCCACTCCCAGTACTGGCTCTCCTTATTTCTGCATTTTTTTCGGCAAAAATTACCTTTGTCTGGCGAATTAGGCAAGTGACTCTCCACCCATCTCTTCATAATCGACCCCAGGCAAATCTCCTAATTTAGTGAAAATATCATCTTCAGGAGAGGCAACTGCAGCTCAGCCGGAAGTAGAGGGTTGACTGCTAGCCTCTAGGATAAACTGCTTGAAGGCCAAATCAAGCTCCCTATTTAAGTCTTGGTCTTCCAAATGGGCTTCAAGTCCAGACTCTTCGCTGTCTGCACCCTCTTCTTCTAGACGGTCTTCAGGTTCAGCCTCCTCAACGTCTGAACCTTCGAGGCCAATATCCCTAAAGCTTTTGAAATTAGGGAAAATGAATGTCGTCAATTGTTGTTCTCCCTTCGGCACAGGAATATGGTCGGCGGCCAAAAACGTTGAGTAGGTGCGGTCGTACTTTAACAGAATGTGAGCAGTGCACCCTTGTCCTTGAAAATTTGAACGCCCTTTGTATTTAAGGATCGTCTTCACCTGACTAAGAACGGCTTCGTCTGTTGAAGGGAGGGCTCTTTTTAAGTCATTACCTGCACACAACAAATTGGGTTAGCACTGTATTTTCGAGCTGAATAAATCTTATTTTTAAAGCAACTGTTCAGCTACCTGGCTCGCCTTTTCGTCTAGGCACAGGGTCTTGGCGATCCTCTTCCTCACCGAATTGCCAATTTCCTCGAACAACGACCATAACATCGTCAACTCTTTTTCCAGAGTTGGCAAGCATAGTCACCAAGTGGTGATCAATATCCTTGGCTCTAAGAAAATAATGGCCCTGACGACCGGTTGACTTTGCCATAACATAACAGTGCCGAATAGCTGAAATCCCCAGGTTTAGCCCAAAGTAGGCAGTTTAGTTCTACCAAACTCATGATTATAAGATAGAAGTTCACATTGGGTTGAGAAGGCAAAAGGCCCCAGTAGCGCAGGATAGTCCTAAGGAATGGGTGTAAGGTGAAACGAATCCCACCCTTAGCAATTGACAGAAAAGGAAAAATGATGGTGTTTGCATCCGTCCTCTCCATATCAACTATACTGTCTACAACGAGGGATAGTTGGACGCCGTCTGGAATGGAAAAGCGACGGTGGAAAGTGGCGATTCACTCCTCAGAGAGGAGAGCTTTCAGATGAGTCGCCATCTCTGACGGAAGGGAATATACACAAAAAAACAAAATACAAAAAGGGATTGGAATACGAACAAGAGAGAGAGAGTGTGTGTGGGGGGGACTTACAAGTTAGAGCGATATGAAGCAAGAGTTGCAAATCGCAAGAGTCTTGTGAAGAAGGAAGAACGGAATGAGGAATGTCAAATAACCAAGGTTCAACACATACGGAGGAACAGTTTTTAAATCGCATTAAATGAATGTCAAAACATGAAGGGGCGAGAAGTAATGATGATATCATATCGCGTCTGTTCTGACGCATCAGCACTAAAAGGCGTACAAGTGCTATATTCCCGACTATCGAGGTCCATCAAGTCTATAAACTGAAAAAGTAGACACCGACCGCACCGAATAACTAATGTTAATCGGATGTTCGGGGGGCAATTGCGGTGGCCGAATAAATAAGTTATCATTACCGAATAAATAAATTATCATTGACTCAAAGTGCTCGCCATATGGCCGAATACAAGTCGGCCATGCCGGGTCAGGCAAATGGAGAAACCGAGTACGAACAAGTTATGAATGTTGTATAAGCCGACTATACCCTTTCATATACGGAAGGCCCAGGAACAGGATCAAAGCCTAGGAAGCAGTGGGCCCATCAATAGCTCCTGGAGGAATCAGTATAAAGGGAAGAGCCATGCTGAAGGTAAAAAGATCAAGAAAAAAGTAATAGAGAAAGAGAGGATTAGGAAGTTCTATTTGAACGAAAGAGTATTTCTAATTCCATTTCACCACCTAACTTTATACTCTTTCTGTTTGTCAAAGTTGCAACAAAAATATATATATATATATATATATATGTTTATAGTGTAATTATTTTGTGACTAACCCATCTATTTGCAGTTTCCCCTAATTTTTTTTATCAATTTTTTTTCAAAAAATATTATTAATTTTAGCTCAATTTGATCATATAATTTTTTTAAAAAAAATTATCCCAAAAAAATCAATAAATAATAAATAATTACTAACCAATTTCAACATATTATCAACATTTTTATTAGGATAACTTACAAATACACCCTTGAGATTTGCTTAAAATACAAATTGTCCCTTATAGTTTTGAAAATTGCATCCATCCCCTTGAAGTTTTTAATTTCATAACAAATGACCAATTTTATCAATAAATCATCAAGTTATTTAACAGTTTTTAATAATATCATAAATATATTTCAATTAATAATTCAGCTAATTTTATTATTATATAAAAGAGCAGTTGGAAATTTATTTTTTTTAATTAATTTTGTTAAATAAAAAATTCTTACAAAGGAACATTTGTAATTTTCTAAAATACAAGGGACAATACGTATTATAAGTAAATGTCAAGGAGTGTATTTATAATTTATCCTTTTTATTAAGTAATAGTTATAAGACAATGAATATTCCGTGTATTCCATCTTAACTACTCTGAATTTATCCCAAAAAGAGATCGTGTAATGTGGAATACATGTGTAGAATGAATTTGAACTACACGATGATAATTCTGAATAATTTATAGATAGTTAAGGTTGAATTTGTTGTATTGCTCTAAGACAATAGGTCAATTTTTTTTTTTAAATAAAAAGATAAAAAAACAAGTACATAGACAATAAAATGGTAGGCCTATTTTGGGAATACGATTAAAAGCCAGTTTATTGGTGTCTTTGCTTTTTTTAATTATATCACTTCTCTACTTTTTTACACTTTTTTAAAAAAAAATAAAAAAAAAAAAGCCAAAATGCCAACTTTTAACCTACTTCCCAAAATAGAGTCGGTTTGAGTTTCTAAAATAATTTTCTTTTTAAAAAAAAAAATAGAAACTAATTTGACAAAAATAAATATGAAAAATATATTTTCAAATTTTTTTAAATGATTTTTGCTATTCAAAAAGATAAAACTATATAAAAACAATAAATGCTTTGATTTTTCATTTTTTTTTTTCACAAAACTAATTTTTAAATTTAAAAGAAGATTCTAAAGCAAATTTTTGAAAAGCAAATCAAACATAGGGAACTAGTGTTAGATAGTTGGTTTTTATATAACAAGCAATTTACATGCAACTATAAATAATCAACAAAGTTGCATTCTAGAATTGCACCGAACAGTGAAAAATATCCATCACCAAAACCCCTATATATTCTACTTCATTTCCTTTTTATTAGTCTCATGAAAAAGGAAGGAAAAAGTTATATATATATATATATATATAATAAATAAAAAGGATAAATTATATTGATCACTTTTGAAATTTAGAGAAAATACAACAAACTTCACATATTTAACATAATTACACTAACTTCCTTTTTGATAAGGCTTTATGGATTGGTTTGACATAATTACATTTTATTTATTTTTCCTTTCTTTTGTAAATTCCTTCTTGAATTTATATAATCTAAATACAGCCTAAATAGGCAGTCCTCTTTGGATCAATATTATAACCAACATTTTAATCATTAAAACATGGTTTGTATCCAGAGTCCAGACCCGCAAAAAAAAACACACATGGTGTGCATATTCACCTAGTAAACATGAACAAACATGACCAAATGCAATTGACAGATAAATCAACCTTGTTAAATATACAAAATAACACAAGGCAAACTGGTATATTACATCCCACAAAACAAAATCAAAAATCAAAAATCAAAAAAAAAAATTTAAAAAAAACCCCACTCATATTCGACAAAAAAGGGAAAAAAATGGACAGGAAACATCTTCAGATAGAGAGAAGGAAAAGGGAGTCCATCTTCATCATGAATAGAGCATCATCATTATCACATTAGTTAATACAGTTAAAGTATACTGCAGGCTCTCTGTTTCCTCTTCTTTCTCTTTGGTTTTGGAGGCTGTAGAACCACCTTGATTGCGACATCAAAGACAGCCTTCACATTCTGCATTTTCAAAGGAAAATTTTAGTTTAACTGATTGCAATTCACACCGGACTTTGTGGAAGTATAAATTGTAATGGCTACCGTCCTATAATTCTGTTTTCTTTCAACAGTTGTCTTAATAGCCAGTTCAAAAGTGCGATAACTCATATCAAAATGTTTTAGTTTTAAATGTAGCCTTGTTCAAATGATGCTTTTATTATTGTTAATAGCAAAAATCCAAAGCTTGTGTTGGATCAATGTTACCTAGAACGCGGATCGTTCTGGTATGAGGAATGAAACATGCTCTAAAATGTGCCACGATAAGAATAGAATTCTTAATTTGACATCCCATATAGTATAGTGTATTTTTCTTCAAATTAATCATTCAACAATACGTTTCTATGAGTATTATGACCCATTGTTCTACACATTTTTAAATCCAAAACTCTACTCCATCTAGATTTTAGTTTATTATATTTGACTTTTACCCTATTGAAGAAAGCTTTTAATGAAAAACATAGTAAAAATTATGGGATCAATTTGGGTCGCTAAATTCACACTTTTGGAACAAAATTGTACTATGTTTTGAAACGTAATTTGTTGGGATGTTAGCGTTTTCTGGTAACACTAGTTTGAATCAGAGATTTGTGTTGGCTAGGGAATTGGAAAAAGAAAAGGAAAGGGAAAGGGAAAGGCAAAGGCAAAGGCAAGTGAAATGTGAAATTCTTTCTCCATTTCCCTGGCCTTTTCCTTTACACTTTTCAAATCCCTATCCAATTCAATGATCCAAATACAACCAAAAAGAATTTATAGCAGAAGGATAAAGTTATCCTACTTGATTTCATGGATCTATAGGTTCATTTCTTTATAGTGTCTCCACGTTAGCAAGTTGAGACCCTTATTATTCCTCAAGTGCATGTGCAAATAAGAACAACTTGAAGACAAGACTACTTTGATAAGATTAGTATTAATCTTCAATATTTTGATCATGTTTTAGTTCATTGAGTTCAGTACATTTTACTGGTGAGGTTATTCATATACAAAACAAGAATTGCCTCAATTGGAAGTCTTTTTTTCTTCTTTTTATTTTTATTTTTATCTTAACCGATATAGATGCCCATAATATAGATATAAGGGTAGTATTCAAATTATTAATTAGCCTCAATCGCTATCAGCTATCAATGTTGGCAGTATTTAAATTATTAATTAGCCTCAATCGCTATCAGCTATCAATGTCATATACTCAATGCACTATTGCAAAATGTTATTGATTAGTGGTTTCCAACACCGCACAAATTTGCAGGTGTTAGATATGCCAATTGTAGACTTTGGTCTTCATGAAATGTATAACATGTAAGTAATTACGATACAAACCTGCTGCGTCTTGGAGCTGCACTCTACATATGCCACGGCTCCTATTTGCTTCTTTAGTTCTTCACCCTGCAATCAAAAATTTAGGAAACCAAAAGTTAAAACTCTCCAATTCTACAACATTGAAGTTGTTTTTGTCTTCTAAAACCGGCATTTTACCAGTTCTTTGGTAGATGAGAATGAGGAGCTGAGGGAATCGAGACAATGACAAAGTTACATGTGGAGCTAATTGTTACTAGAGTTGATTGTGATTTAATTTCAATTAAATCAAAAGAATATTGAAGAAAATATGTTATGTACAAGATTCCAAACATTAGCTTCCTCATTTTCTTGGAAAAACAACAATAAGTGCCAAATTATAATCTTGCAAATTGAAGTATAATTCGTTTTTGGAAGGATGAGTGCATACCTGTGCTGTAGAAATTGTACATGCACCGGGATAATCAATCTGGAACTGCTTGTCTTCTCTCAAATCTGCCATTTGAGTGACCAATTTTAGACACCAGAAGGCGCACACACACACACTGAAGGAGAGAGCTCAGTGTTGGCCTCTACTTCACATCTCATAAATCACCAAAGTAGGCGGCTGAGTTCATGTCCTACTTCAATTCTTATGCGTATACATATGTGCAAATCAACTCCTAAACTAAAACCTTAATTTCAGTTGTTCTTACAACCATACAGAAATTAATACATATTCATAGTGTGTATCGTGTACGTGTCACATATATGCATGTACAAATCATTTCTTCATTTAAATGCAACCTATCACTATCATATTGGGGCCTCTAAAAAAAAAAAGGAGAGAAGGAGCTTTATCACTCTTCTAAGGAAATTGTGGTCGCTGTTTGCACTGCACTTTAAGTTGAAAAAAGAAAAAGAAAAAAGGAAGGCATAGAAGAGAAGGGACTTGGGGTCGCTTTTGCATCTCAAATGGCACTGTTTTGCACTTTAAGTTGCAAAAAAGGTGTCTTTTTGGTAACTTCTAGCGCAAAAAACGGCAACATTTTGGGGCGTAGCAGTGCTGCTGCAGCGACGAGAAGGAGGAAGAACTTTATCACTTTTCACTTTCTTAGTTCTTCCAGAAAAATGCGCTCAATTACTGAGCCCGTTGGGAAACTTCATTGAAAAACAAAAGACACGTTTTTAGCAGCACATATCATGGACTTGGGTAGGGATTTGGAAAGGTAAAGAGAAAATGTGAAGCAAATATAAATGAAAAATAAGCTAAAATTTTTTCTTCATTTCTCTTTCTTTTTCCAAATACCTACCCAAATCATGATCTAAACACAGCCTAACAAAAGCAATGAAATCATGTACTAGGAGCCAGAAAACATTACTTACCAAGTTTGGTCCCCACTAGAACAATGGGCACTGATGGAGCATAATGTCTTAGCTCAGGGACCCACTTCTCAGGCAGAAAGCAAAAGAAAGAAGACAAAGAGATATGATGTAAAGAACATTATTGAAATGATAAAATAGAAAAGATCAACCACCACAATTGATGGATTAGATTGAAAGACAGAGCAAAAAGAAGCTTTACTTTCTTTGATATATTCTCAAAGCTAGGCCTACTTATTAGAGAAAAGGCAAGGAGGAAAACATCAGCTCCTCTATAACTAAGAGGCCTCAGTCTGTTATAGTCTTCTTGACCTGCAATTTAACAGTTGAAAAAACATAGAAATTTTAGAACTTTGCCACTCATTTCAGCAACATTGTTGACTACTTGATAACTTCATTTCTAATCTATGGATTAGTCGACAAGCAAAAAGAATCAGTATATCATTGTTTGTGTTACCTTTACTCTTCTAAATGTTTAAAATATCCGTGTCCAATGCTCGACAATTGAGTAAGGGTATGAAATATGTATCCGACAGGTGAATTAGCTGAATCGAATACTTAGACACATACCCACACCCATCATATGTACCCAGATGACATAGATCTTTGTTAATTCCGGCATAATGGCTATAACTTATATACCAAGTAGTATAATTACCAGAGCCGGAGAAGCAAAATAAATTACCAAAGTAATATCTGTCAAAAACAAATAATAAGGAATACTTCATTGCTTAAAATGGTGCTTTATTTGCTGCTGAGGATAGAGAAGTATAAAAATTGAATGGACCAACAATTTATGGTCAGCATTTCCCATCTCTTCCTCCATGTTCTCGCAATTGAAATTGAAACAGATTAACTAGGAAGAATATCACATTGAAGAATCAGATGATTAAGCCTTGAAATCTTTCAAATATTTTCAACACCTAGGTTTTTTTCCTATCACTTTGATCATGCATGAAATAATGAGTTGGTGATAGCTCAAGCCTAATATGACACCCATGAACAATGAAAAAGAGACAGCAATTGCAGAAACAAAAATCTAAAGGCAAAGATACATAGACATTACACAGAGAGAGAGAGAGAGAGAGAGAGAGAGAGAGAGAAGGGGACAATACCAGCAGTATCCCAGAGACCCAGATTTACAGTTTGTCCATCAACCATGACATTGGCACTGAAGTTGTCAAAAACAGTTGGAACATAATCCTAGCAATAGGGAAAAAAAAAATTAAATGAAAAACAAACACACACAAAGAAAACCCAAAAGAAATTTAAAGAGATTGATAGAAACAAAAACAAAAACACATTAATTGGAAAGAGTTTTTTTTTTTTTATAAAAAAAGTACAGTTGGGAAAGTGTTGCTGGTGTAGGAGATGAGAAGGCAAGTCTTCCCAACAGCTCCATCTCCTACTGTAACGCATTTGATGAACTTTGTAGTGGTAGCCATCTCATTCTTGTCCCTCCAAAAACAATCCCAAAACACTAAAAAGCTTTTTCTGTCACTTCAAACACTACTAAAAATTTGTGGGATGAGAAGTTGAAGCGATGGAGGAGAATCTAAGAACCCTTTTGAGAGTGAGTGAGTGAGTGAGTGAGAGAGAGAGGGAGAGAGAGAGAGCTCTGTGTGTTCTCTTCTCTCTGCCTGTGAATGGCAGTGTCTAAAAATTTGTAGTGGGAAAGAGGGAAGGTGGGAGCAGAGAAAGGCAAAATGAATGTTGCCTTTTTGGAATTGTCATTCTAAAAAAAAAAAAAAAAAAAATCAAATTTTTGTTTTCAAAATTTCTAACTATATACAATTCAAAAGTAGGGTGAGCAGCGGATATATCGATCCGTCAAAATCGACCGATCCGATCCGATCCGTCGCATTTTGGACGGATGCGTGATGACGAGCGGACGGTTGCGGATTGATTTTCTTCAATCCGCCAATTTGGCGGACGGATGGCGGATTTAAGGTTCCTTTGGCCGCAACCGAACCGCCAAACCGCGAGCACCTTATAAAACTTTGTGTTTTCAATTTGTTTAAATATTTTGTTTGTGTTTTCAATTGAAAAAGAGTTCAAATATTCTGTTGAAAAAAAATTTTCAACTTGAATATATTTTTTGAATTGAAAAAAATAAACGTATTATTTATCTATATTTTTTTGTTTTTAAATCTAACTCTAAAAGTAATAAATAGAAAATATGATATATGTTTGTTGGTTTTTATTTTCAAAAACATATATAAATGTAACAATACAGAGACATATAATCTCTACTATTGCTCTATTAATAGTTTTGGTGGTTTGAATTGTTCTTATATTTTAAGAACCACAGATTGTAATATTTTATGTGGATGAGGCATGTTGTGATTGTAATATGTGAATGAGGCATGCAATGATTGTGATATTCTAAAGTTTCAAACTTTCTTTCGTTGGATGAGGCATGCAGTAATTGTAATACTTTTTTAAGTCATTGACTGTAATATTTTCTCTTTTCTTTTTTTTTTTTTGAGAAAGTGCACAAGTTGAACTATGTTAAAAATTTATAAAATTCCAAACCGCCAAACCGATTCGCATCCATCCGCCAAACCGCCAAACCGCTCAATCCACATCCGCCGAATTGGCGGACGAATGTGGATTGATTTTTTCCAAATCAGCCAATCTGGCGGACGGATGGCGGATTGAAGGTTTCGTGACCGCAACCGACCCGCGCCCACCCCTAGTCATTTTAAAAATTATTTCTAAAGTTCATTACTAAGCACACAATTTAAAATTTAAAATTAAATTCTTTTTTAAAAAAAAATTAAAAAAATTAATCAAATATTTTTTTATTTTATTTTTTAAAATTATTTTTAGAATGATAATTTGAGTGTGAAGCTATATTTAGAGTTATGAGTTGAGTTTTAAAAAGAAAAAATTTGTTTGGTTATGAAAAGAGTTTTGAGTAGTTTTTTTTAATGTGCATTGTATTTTATACAATTATGCGTTGTATTTTTTAAAAATATTTGAAAAGAGTTTGGTTATGAATTTTGAAAAAAAAAATTCAATTGAGTTTTGAGTTATATATTTAGCTATGAATTTTAAAAATAATTTTTTGAATTGAGTTTTGAGTTATGAATTTGGTTATGATTTGAGTGTGGAGTAGTGTTTTAATTTTAAAATATTGAAAAAATAAAATATTTAAAATAAAAAATAAAATTTTCTTAAACATTTTTAAATATTAAAAAAAAAACAAATCTACAAAATTTTAAAATATAACTCAAAATTTAAAAATTTTAAACTCAAAATTTTTTTCAAAATTTAAAATTTAATAATTTAAAATTCTTTTTAAAACTCATGTAATCAAATAAATTTTTTTTTTTTTCAAAACTCACCTTACAACTTTATACTTAAATTATAACTGGACAATCTAAAAAAAAAATCGAACGGAACCGAAAATTTTCTGAGAACATTTTCTTGAGCTATCAGGGAGGCAAAAAGGGCAATGCCAAAAAATTAAAAAAATTTAAAAAAAGGCAGAAAGGCCCAAAAGGAAAGCATTTTTTTGGGCATGTACGTATGGACACGCGCTCACACAGCCCTCGTGCACCCAACCCAAGGCTCACCAATAAGCGCGGTTGTAAAATTCAGCCCTCGTTTCGCATGTCAAAATTTGGAATTAAAATGTTAAAATAGTTATAAAAAGTTGAAATAAATTAAAAAATTAATAAAATAAAATATGATATTTAAATTATAATTATTATATTTTTTTTATAAAATTTAAAAAGTCAAAAAATTCATTTCAAATAAGGCTTTTTAGTTCCAAGCTTGTCAAAAAGACAACTCACATCTCAAACGAAGCCTTAGGTTGGAATAATTTAATTTATTAAAAAATAAAATAGATTAAAAAATTAATAAAAAAATATCACATTTAAATTATAATTATTTTATTTTTGGTTTCAAAAAATTACAAAAAGATCATAAGTTTTTTTCAAATAATTTTTTTTTATCAAGTTAAAATAATCGAAAAGTCAAAAAATCAAACTAAAAAAGTTCTTTTAAAACAAAGGCTTAAACTCATTTATTTCGGGTTTTTTTTTTTTGGCAATCTATTAAATAATCAAAAAATTAAAAAATTATTACAAAAAAAATAATTTTTTCCTATATTTTTTATATACGTCTTTTGTAAAAAATAAAATAATCAATTTCCAAAATAATCCTTAATAAGGAAAAATGCTAGGTAATAATTTTATTTTTTTATTTTATTTTCTCATTTTAAAATACAATTGAGTGAGTTTTATATAAATTTATGAATGTTGACCCAATTTCTTTGTGTCTAGGATTATGTAAAGAATTGCTCTTTAATAGTTCAAGTTAAGGTTGGCTTTAAAAGCGAGTTTTTTAGTATTTTTTTAAATTTTTTTGTTAAAATTTAAAGTGAATTAAATTTAAATGTTTCAAAATTACTTTTAGGGCCGGTCTTGAGGTAAGGCGAGCAAGACTCTCGCATCAAGGCCCCAAATTCTATCCAAAAAATATGGCCTTGAAATAATTTTAATCTTAAGTTATATTTGGTTAATTATTTCAATTTCAAGTTATGTTTTATTTATTAAAATAAAATTGAATAGAGTAATTATTACATCATAATATTTATTTTCACGTTTGATTCACTATCATTGTGAGAATAGTAATTTTATAAAGAAATTAGAGAATGATCATTCCATTCAAATTAATGTCATTTCAATGAACCAAACAGTACAGTATAGTGTTAGGAGTTTAAAAATAAAAGTTTAAATAAACAATTGAATTGGTGAATTATTTTTAAAAAATGGATTGTTGCTTGCTAAATGTATGAATTATTTATAGAATATTATTTGATTATATGAGTTATAATTGCTTTTAGAGAAATATTTTTTTTTAAGTTGAAATTAATCAAATTTTACAATTTAATTTACTACGTCAGGAAAAAATGTGAATAAATTAAGTTCAAAATTTATCTCAATAATTATGATTTATGTCAATAATTATGTGTATTATATACAATAAATTTATACAAGGTACAAGCAAAAAATCAAAATAAATTTAAGATTATTACTATTTCATTAATATATATATATATATATATATACAAAAATTGTATGAGTGTTGGGTCCCATGTTCTAAGTTCGTCTTAGGCCCTCAAAAAGTTAGGACTGACCTTGATTACTTTTTAGTCTTTTATAAAAAGCATGTAAGAAGTAGAGACAATGAACAAAAATATTTAACTTTTTTATATGATTTTTAAAACTTTTTTTTAATGACTTTTTTTTTTTTTTTTTTTTAATAGTCTATTGCCAAAATGCACAATTGAATATAAATGGATATGGGCTAGCGTAGGTAAGGGTGTGTGCAGTGTAATTCAGGGTGTTTGAGAGTAAAATTATATTAATCAAATCATGAATGGTGGATTGGCAAATAGTCAAATCATGATTTAGGCAGTTTAGAACGGTTTTAATTTGTTAGTTAATCGAAGAATATTCTTAAATTATTATTAAACATTTGTATAATATATAACACTAATTTACATAATATTTTTTGTACATATAACACACTAATTTTACATAATATTTTTCATATAAACTATTAATTTGTAACAAATTTCACATTTGAAATCTTTCTCACACTCATTTTTACTTTGATATTTCATTAGAGGTCAAAAAGAATATATGTATTAACTATAATAGAGCGGATGATTTTAAATGTGAATTATAAATTTCAAAATTTAATTTGTAGTTAGTCGATGCGATTTTAACAGGTTACGCAGTATTTTATATAGCTACAACTGAAAATCTTTAATTTTAAAACCCTATAATTAGTCGAGCTAAATGCAAAATAACCCGAATATCATGGCTTAAGCCATGAAGGGAAGCGTGCCAAGTAAAATTTGGCGACACCTATAATTATAAAAAAAATGGGAAGATACTTTATTACTTAAGCCATGATGGGCTTCATAATGACTTGAAATTGAAGGGGTGAAGTGAAATAACGTAAAAGTCAAGGAACAAAATAAAATTGGATAAAAATGTGAGGATGTAATGTGTAATTTGCCTTTAATGTGTTATTAAGCACACCATGGTTTTTGGTGGAAACAAATATGATGATTTTTTTTAGATAGATCAAATATGATGAATTTGAAGTGCCAACAAGCTTGTAAAAGTGTCTTTAGTATGCTGGACAGATAGGACTAAACATGTTGGGCCGAGCTAATTTGGGCTCGTCCAGAGTAGATTTTGCCCGGTTGAGACTCGGCCCCTGTTCAGCCCGAGCTAAAGGAGGCCTCCCTGGAGTTGATCTTGCTCGGTCGATGCTTAGGCCCGAGGTCCAGATCCAATGTTTTAACCGAGCTTACTTGGCCGAGATGACCGCCTGCCGACCCGGGTTCCATGAGTCGCAGGCGTAGCTCGGCGGGAAATGTCTTCTGTTCACCGGCCGACCTGTCTTGAACTCGGCTCTGCCAGAATGCTTCCGAACACGGCTGTTATGGAGCTCGGCAAGCGGAGCACACAGGCACGTCACGTAGCACGGTCATGGGATGCCGAGGTGACGCCACCGAGCTACCGGGCTCCCGCTAATGTAGTCTGGCGGTTTGGTTAGGTGGTGTCCACTGGATTTGTGCTGACAGATGGGAAAGCAACTCCACGTGTCAAGAGACCAGTGGGAGTAGATTTGAGCGCAGAAAGTATATAAGCATGACTACGCCCCTCAT